GGTCTTTGTGATACATGGAAGGTGAATGATGCCTTTTTGCTCATTTAATTATTATTTTTTTAGGCCTCTTAAATTTATTGACAGTTTTGTCATTAACAAAAATTGTATTGGGTTCTTACAAAAGCTGCATTCATATTGATCTATTTGAAAAGGCAAAATTAAATAGATTTTCTAAAAAGTACAAATGGACTGCTTCACTTATTGGAAAAACGTGTAATTACACCCCCTCCAGACAAACAAATATGCAGCATGAAACTAATTAGGACGAAGGTAGGCCTGCAGAAGGATTTGTAACGGTGACTAAGACAGGAGAGTGCACTGAGCGACTACAAGCTTATCACTGTTGATGAACAAGACGCAAAGGCATTCCAAGCAGACCTGGCATTCCTCCACCATCCCACAGCGCAGCTAAATTAGGAGGGGGGAGGAACTGCTTTGCTGACCTATGCGTTGGACGTCTTAATTGCCAAACTGCAGACCTGTCTTCCCAGCACAAAGCCATTCGTCATCGGCGACCGCTGAAGCAAGAAGAAGGGTCAGGGTGCCTCTCTGAGCCTCCACAAACACCCAGAACTGTCCGTCTCACTGTCAATCACTGCCACGGACGGTTACGCCCCCATCAACACCTCCACGAGACCAAAACGCACGCCAACACAAACACGACAGTTTCCACAATAAAACTCCCCAGGACTGACTGAAACAGGTTTCCGGTCACAGCCTGTCCCCAGTAATGAAAAATAGCTCTGCTAGGCTTCACGGCAGGATGCGTGGCCTCCGGGCAACACGGCCCACCTGCGGGGGTAAACAAGGAGGGAGTTCAATACAATCCTGTCAGGCCAACGGACAAGGTCGCTTGTAGTAAAACACACTGTACTACACACAGGCAAAACAATACAGAAGATTAATTTCAGCCAAAGCGAAGAGTAGGAGATATCAGCTCTCATTTGGTCCAGTCACCAGCGGGTATGTGTACATTTTAAAGTTTAGCAACACCTAATGTACATATAACACTTTAACAGAAATAAGTGTGTGTGTGGGGGTGATAAATAATACCAGAAAGTGTTTGATTGGATCATTTTTACCCTTAACGCAGGTGTGAGGACTCCTCGATGTCTTTTGTTGTCAGTAGGAAATAAATTTATGAGCTGATGACAAGAAAATTGGCTGACAAATAATAAGCTCAAAAACCTGGTCTGAAAACTGCTGAACACTCCTAAAAGCAAGATCTAAGCCCTCCAGGAACCCAAGAGAGGATGAACAGAGGACGGGTGGCCACATGACTTTGTGGATCAGTGCTTTCAAAAAGAGAGTCAACAAAACAACAAGGAACTCTTCCTATATTTAAACAAAGTTGTGCCTTCAAGCAGCGATGCAGATGTCTTTGACAAAGAGCGCTTCTTCTAAATGAGAAAACCTGAATTGCTCCATTGAGCTGATGTAATCTCAGTCTCCTGCCAAACAACATTACTTAATCAGGAATCCTGAAGTCGATGTGCCACAAGAGGGGACTAGTTTAGGTTAGTGTTGGCAAGACTGCATGAACAAAATTTCTTTTAGCCCGACATGATGAAAGTGGCAGACAGGTATGTGTGCTTTCTTGCTGAGAGCTCTGACTCAAGTAAGCGGTTGTTTTGAGCCTTGGGTTAGGTTTTTTTTTAGAGGGATTTGTGATTAAGTTCAGAACCACAATGATCTGACTGATAAAATAGAAGAAAAAAGGACTCCAAGCAAGTCAGTAATAATAAAAAGTACTTCAAAGTGTTTTGCCTAAAAATGTGTAAACCCTACTTGGACTTCCAAAGGACAAACCAAGCTTGATATAAAAATATACAACTTTAAATGCTTGTTTTTGCATCTTAGACAAGGTAAAATGTTTCATTTATATCATTGCAAACTTTTACTTAAAAAAATATTGTACAGATGTGTGTTAACCATTTAAACGAACCAAAAACCTTAGAGAAAAAAAAAAGTTTATCCAGATAATCTGTTTTGGAGTTTTTAAGTGTGAATCTGCTCATTATCACTATCTGACTGTCAGTCAGAGAATAAAATGACAAAATGCCAGAGACAAAGTGAGACTGCTACAAACTGACACCAGTCTGCACGTGCCGGCACAAATGGACGGCAGACATGCAAATCAGAATGAATGGACCGAGAGTCAACCACAAAGTGCAGTCGTTCTAAAACTTGATGATGCAGAGAAAATAAAGGATGTTGGCACAGATTACTTCATAAATCCAAAAAAAAGTGAGCTGGTGTTACATTTCACAGGAAACATGAAAACTTTCAAATCCTAAAAGTGGAAGCCAACACAACACACGATTGTTTTTATGCACATAGGAGGGAATCCTTCTCTTACTTGATTCCGACTTGTCTTACTTGATTTGTAAGTAGGAATGAAAAAGGATGTGACGTCTTCAGATGATCTTAATAACTGGAATATAGACATATTTGAATAAAAACATCTGCTGAGTTTCTAATCCATGCTGTATTACATAGCCATGTTGACAGTCAGTTATTTTCTACTCGGACTGTTATCTTGCGTTACACGCTACTTATTAAGATAAAAATAAAAATGCCAGACTAGTGGGGCTGCTGTAGCTTGGTGGTCAGTGTTGCGGTCTTGTAATCCCGAAGTTACTGGTTTGTGCCCAGGCTTGTGTTGGGAAGGGCATCAGATGTAATTCCCAATCTTTCATGCGATTATTAATAAGGAAGCAGTCAAAAGAAAACAAGGTTAGACTAGAAAACTAAGCAGCTTCTGGATGAAACAAAAGCTCTAAATTTATTTATTTTTTAACTCTAACATCACACTCTGGTGAAATCTCGCCTGTGTAAACAAAATACATCGGCGTCTCAGTGTCTACACGTTTTCTATTCCAAAATTACAGCCTTTTCCAAAGTAAAATTTACTGATTTTTTTTTCTGTCCATTTTCAGGTTATTTCTTAATATTCAAGTACAAACTTGTCCTGTGTATGTGCAGTACGGACAGCACTCTAAAAATGGTTAGCGTTTACTTGTGCACATAAAACTTAAGCTTGGTTCAGAAAGTCAACCATGTGAAAAACTATATGTCTGTCTTTTATATATATTACATTTAAAAGCATGCTGCTTGTTTGAGTGTTTGTTAAATTAAATTAGCATTTTTTTTAGAAAATAAAAAGTCTGAAAACAGAAATGTTTCCATACTTTTTTTTTACCACTCATATTGAGACTAGTACAAGCCCTGACCCTTGCAGATCCCATGAGACATTGACCCTTGACCTCTGTTGATCTAATATAGAATTCAGCATCAAGCCATTAAATCTATTCAGCTTTCGTAGACTGAACATCAAGCAGCATCTCCCAGGTGCTCTATTGGGTGAGATATGATCAACATTGCAGATTATTCTTGCCTGATGCATCCTAAAAGCACATCAATGATGAGACCTTTATACTGCGTTTCCTCTTTGGGTACATTGCTGAGATTCTTCGGCAGAAAATGTCAGAAATACTTTGGATGCCTTGTATGTGGGATGTTCATGACAGAGTTCCTGAGGTGTGTCGCTCCACCTGTGAAGAATACAACAGGTCTTGCTGAGGTGACTTGCACTACACGTTTTTCAGGCCTCCAATCAATGACTCCATCGGAGACAGTGAGGGAGAGTGTCCAAACGCTGTAATCGATAATTTCTGTCAGTACATTTTTCACCTTACGACACCTTGTCGGTCTTGTACTGGAGTCTGTTTCCCCATAAACCATGTTTACATTTGTCTAAACGACTGGCTATGATTGGGTTTGAGCTGTGGAAGGATGATAAGGCAAATACAATGAATTTATGGTCACCAGAAAATGTCTGAGCAACATTTCTGACAGCTGCTGGAAGCTAAAATGTCAAGTATGTGCTTCTAACAGGTTTTTAAATGAAATTTAGGGTTTTTCTCTGTCATGTTGCTTGATGTTAAGCAAATGTACTTTAAAATGTGTCTATTAACTGTATGACAAAAGCTAAAACCATGATACTTTTAAAGGGAGGTTTTGATACAAAACACTATCAGGATAGTTTTTCTTAATACTTCCTCTCTTATTTTGTTTTACTGATGTAAAATATGTACTTTTATCACAACTTACACCAACATAAAAGACAATTTAACTTGTCAAAACTGCAAATAAAAAAAGACAACAATTAAACAAAAGACAAACAAAAATCTTATAAATCTCTGCTGAAGACAGCCTTCGTTAGCAACTGTTAGCCAACAGAGCTGAGAAGATAGCCCAGAGCTTATAAACTAAAACTAAAACCACCCGGTTATCTCAGTGAAATATAATTTTAGAGTCTGGTCAACACATTTTTAGAAATTCCACAAACGGAAGAGTTGTGAGGCCGTCAGGACGTCTGGACAGTTTCATCTGATCTGCCGCTTAAGTTTATCGAAACCTGCTGAGAACCAGCATTAGCCGTTAGCTTCAGCTAGCCAAAAGGTTAGCAACCAAGTCTAAAACTTGACTTTTTGACTTCAATAAAGGGGCTGACAACATGGTGGGAAACGCAGAGAGTTCTCACCCTTTATAATAAGCCTTAACCCGGACTTGGTGGGAATTTTCGCCGGGGTGGGACATGGTGCTGTCCCGCAACGTCGGCATCATCAGCTCCGCTCCCGGACTCGCCGATACCTCTTTCTTCCCTCTTCAAAAACTCTGGTCGCCACGCCCGGAAACACTTCGAGGTAAAGGTCCGTCGACAAAAAGGAAAGATTTATTCGGGCTAACGGTGCTAAAAAACCAAGACGGAGGCCTTCCCTGGTCAAACAAAATTAACATGTAAAGTATAGGAAAACTTGCGGGGTCCACCAAGCAACTCCCTACTGCAAAGGCCTAACGGCGGACGAGACCATTGTCGAAATGTTTAGGGTGGCGCAACTAAAGGCGTGCACCATAACGCAAAACAAATAATAAATTAGGAAAAACATTATTCACTATGTTTTATAAATTTGTTACTAATACCATAGAAAAAGCGGTATAATACAGTAAACGTTTCGTTAAAAAAAGGCTATTATTAATACTTCGTAGGACTGTTCCAAATCAAACTCAAGTGTAGTTGTGTGCTGCTTTCACGTTCCAACATTTAAATTCGGTAATTCTTAAAGCGCCTGAAGGTGAACAAAACAAAACAAAGACATTAAAAAAAAGTAAATTAGAAGAGGCGTATACTGTTTGTAAAATAACTTTAAAATACCTTATGTGATGCTTTGTTAAAATGAACGGGACATTTTAGCATGTGGTTATCCAATTTTATTTACAAAGTACAGTGCAACACAACAAAACATAAATAAATAAAAATAATTAAAAGAGGAATAAAACTATAATCAAATTACACCTTAAAATACAAAAGAATAAAAAAGACATCTGCAAAATAAACACATTTTATTCTCTCCTGTATTTTATTTCAACGAACCATCAGCAGGGGGAGTCCAGTCTAACTCTGTCCATAGGCTTCATCTTAAACCTCCAGTGTTCGTTTCTTGCTCACCGACTTTTGAGTTCCTGGTCTAAAATCGTGATTCAATTTATCTAAAAATTGCTATTATAGTTATTATCAACCATTTTCTTGTGAACAATATAAACTTAGGTCTTCTATAGGTTTTTATGACAATTAGATGTCGTTGATCTTAGCTCACACACATTTTGAGTAAACACAAGGCACATTTATGAATTCATTACTGAAAGAAAGAATTGTGAGCAAGACCTAAAAAAGCTTTATCACAAATTATGTCAGAAAAGTTCCAGCTATGACTGAATCAATATTGTGATTATTAATGAGACTGTAAACAGGTGTGGTTCCTGTGGGGGAAAGATTATTATGGGTGTTGCCACAGAAACTGAAAAAGTTTGTGTCCACCCAAAAAGCAAATACACCTAAGAGTGATGGAAAGCAATTATGTCGATCTGTTAAAGTCGGTTTTACACATTCTTTTCTAAGAATCAGGAACACCAAGGGTGTGAATTGTTGAATAAATCACCCAAAATTTATGAAAAATTCTATAAATGTATTTATTCTGATTAGATGACTTATGTGAATAAAGTAATGCTGCCTCATGTAAATTGGATCAAAGGGATATATTGTAGCTTTCTGTGAGAAATATTTCTGAAGAATCGGCTCTGAGCTTCTTCCTGTTTGCTCTGGTGATTGACAGACTAACAGAGGTCAGAATTATGTTTACAGATGACATTGTGATCTAGAGTGAGGACAAAGAACAGGTGGAAAAGAACTTAGAGAGGTGGAGGTATGCACTTGAAAGAAGAGGAATGAAAGTCAGCCGTAGTAAGACAGAGTACATGTGTGAGACAAAAGGGTGACAACGAAGGTCAAAGAAAAAGTTTACAAGAGACCAGCTTTGGTGTATGGTCTGGAGACAGAGACGTGTACAAAAAGACAGGAGAAAGAACTGGAAGTGGCAGAAATGAAAATGTTGAGGTTCTCCTTAGGAGTGACAAGGATGGATAAGATCAGGAATGAGATCATCAGAGGTACAGCACAGGTTGAACAACTGGGAGATAAAGTTAGAGAGGCCAGACTGAGATGGTTTGGACATGTCCAGAGGAGGGACAGTGGGTATATTAGTAGAAGGATGTTAGAAATGCAGCTGCAATGAAAAAGACAAAGATGAAATAAATGGATGCAGTTAGAGAGGACATGGAGGTGGTTGGAGTGAGGACAGAGGATGATTTGCTGTGGAGACCCCTGAAGAGGAAAAAGCCGATAAGTCAATTTTTATTGCTATACAATTGAAAGGTAAATGTTAATCTTAATGTTTGCGTTAGTTCTTTATCCAATAATTTTCAGTCAGGTCCTCTGGACGTTTTCTTTTTGTTTTTGCTGAGATGTTTTGTCCTTCATCCAAAGGACTTCTTCAGTCCAAGGAGCCATAAACAAACAGTTTTTGGCGTTTTGAACCGTTTTGGCAAGGCTGCTTCAGAGGAGTTGACGGGGGAGAGGGCAGGCCCCAGAAACCATTTTATCACCATCAAACTATTTTTTTTCCCACTATGGGAGTGTGCTGCTTGTGGGACTCCATTTTGTTTGTGGCTCCTTGGACTGAAGAAGTGCTTTGGATGAAGGACAAAACGTCTCAGCAAAAAAAAAAGTCCAGATTACCCGACTGAACGTTGTTGGATTTGTACCTGGATTATTGAGCATGAACTTTGACGTTAGTTCTTTATAATGCAAGAACAGATTCAAAATTAGCAATTTATGTTAATCCATTTTAGATTACAGGATATACCATCATTTTACCTCTTAAAGTATTGTTACACTGATAGTTGAAATTACCAACAGTAACACATTTTATCCTGTTTATAGCAAATTGTTGGATCTTATTCCAAAATGTGTATTTTGAGCTGCTAAACCTTAAAATGTTATATGCATTCATGACTATAAAAAGTAGCTGTATGAATCATTAAGCTTCTTAATGTGTTTATATTAATTTATTGGTGATATCAGTATAGTCCTCACAAAGAGGCAAGTTAAAAATGGCATTAACCCAATAACAGCTTAAGTAATAACTTTATTTGAACAAGTTTGGGGAGTTCGTACAGTCATCTCTTAAGTCATCGTTACAAATTAAAATAGATTCTGAAACACTGCTTTAGAATAGGTGCAGATGATAAAAACTACTGACTATGCATAATGCCTTTTATGGTATTCACAGGGAATGTTGTAGCTGAATGTGACACCCATCAATGGAATGTTTCAAATGTGCAGAGATGAAGGAAAACAAAATACACAGGGTGCACACAGAGGTTTCCATGCACGCCATTTGGTTTACGAAGCTCCTGTGCAAAAAAGAAGCTGCGTTTTAAGACTTGAGGCGTTTTATAAATGTGATTGAAACAGATGGTGAATGCTCACAAAGGCAATGAGGTGAGTCAGTTTCAGGCACTGCAAAAACAAATGTATACATTCCTAAATGAGGTAATGCTCTACTTTTAGTCTATCTCAAACAGAGTTTTAGATTGTTTGAAAACGAAACCATAATTTGGCACCAGTGTGCTAAAGCTGTGTTTTCTGTGCAAAAAGTTTCTGTTTATTGCGTCGACCCTCCCTCCAGACATCTGGGAGAACTTCGAGGTTGTCTGAAATTTAAAAAAATACATGCAACCGCATGAATAAATACCCCCAAATCCCTTAAAAAATCTATTCATATACATATATTGTGGAGCTTTCTCATGTAACTGGACGTCAGCTTCAGAAAAAACAACAAAAAAACTTAAAATGATATAAACAGATCAAAAGAAATAAATGCATTTTGATTCTAGCCAACACAGATTGAAATGATAGTTGAATTACGGTACAAAAAAAACATCTAAAACGATAAATTAATTTATAAAAACACAGGAAGGAGGCTTCTTGTGTGGGAATGGTTTTGACTGATCGTCCTCTCGATGGTAAAATAGCGGAGCGTTCGGTGATCGCACACATGAATCAAGCAGAAGGACGAAACACGACGAGTGAAAACGTCATTGCTGGACGACGTCCCGCTCAGGGCAAGCTGCCAAATCCAAGGCCGTCCTCTGCAGATATGGACTTGAGCAGCTCCTCCACCCAGCGGACCTCAGAGGCCACCTGCTCAGCCAGAACCTCGTAGCGGTTTTCCAGCCGCCCGAACTTTCGCTTGAGGGTGTTGGCGTTCTGCATGGTCTGCCGGGTGTCCTCCTGGCACTTCCTGCGCTGGGCCTGCGTGCGCTGCAGCTCCTGGCGGATGTGGCTCAAGTCGGTGGAGATGCTCTGGTTCTCCTCCTTGTACCAGCCCTCCTTCTCCTCGTATATGGACAGCAGCGCTGCCACATCCTCCTGGCAGGAGCGCTGATTTCGCTCCAGCTCCCTCAGGCCCTCTTCTGTCGCCGCAATCTCCTCCAGCACCTGGGAGAAGCGCTCGAAGTTCACGTAGGTGTTGTTTGGAGGCATGCTGGAGTGGGATTTGATGGTGTACTCCTTCAGCCGCGTGGTCTTCAGGCGCCGGCGCTCTGTTTTGTGGTCTCTGTCCTCCTGACGAACATTCCGCCTCTTGATCACCTGGAGATAAAGAAAATATATATATATATATATATTTTTTTTTTTCACGCTTAGGAGGTTTAAAACTCATTTAAATGAAACCTATTCTCTAAAAAACTGTAGGTCTGGTCAAACCGAAAGAGACGAAAACTTCTGGTACTTTCTTGAGTTTGTAAGTTTATAGATCAGAAGGAAGAAGGCCACACATAGTTTCATAAATAAAACACTAATGTTTTAGTCTAAGCAAGAATAAAACCAACCATCCAAAACTAGAGTTCAACATACAACGCTGAGAAAAAGTTTTAAGGTTTTAAAAGAACCTCACGGTTCCATGGTGAACTGTATCACAAGTAATGCACCAGTAGCATCTCCATAGTCCAGCATAGAAATAAAAATGACAGATACAAGACAAGTGTTTTTTAGCCTCAGATTAAAAAAAATCATTTTAACTTCAAATTTTAACCAGCTACTTGATGTGAAACTGGAAGAAAAGATTTATCAACCATAACTTCTGAGTGTTGAAATTCATTTATTAACCCTAGGCAAGACTCATAAGTATTTGGCATATAAATAAATAAAATATATATATATTTTTTTAAAAATCACAAAAAGTAAACTGAACAGTGGTAAAAAAAAAAAAGTTGTCAATTGGAATGCCTGTTTAGGAACAGATGCAACAAAGTATATCACAAAAGCGTCAGCATAAAATGAGATTTGATCATTCTAGATTGTAGTTTTTAATATTTAAAATAAACAGGAGTGACCCCAGGACTGATCCTTGGGGAACACCACTGAGCACATAAAAGGTAGCTTGAAGTTATAAAAGCGTTACATACAGTAATTCACTTCTTTCTGAAATGATATGAAGCTTAACCATGTTTGAGTTTATATTTTTCAAGAAGAAAATGTAAAAAAGTTTGCAGTTATAAACAAAAAACTCAGCAGCCTGTTGCCGACCTTGAACTTTATTGCTGTGAAATCAGGAAAAATATAAAGGATTAAAATACCCACCTTTATCCAGGGGTGCTGCAGACTCTGATCAATCGTCATTCTCTTCCTATAACAGAAAACTGTCCATTAAAACCACACCAAGATCCCCAAAATATGTCGAGAAAACTGCTTCACTTCACTTAAACAGTCTCTTAAATAAATTGTTAACTAACTTGCACAGTTTCAAACCATTTACTACCAATATACATTGTTAAAAAAATAAAATCACACAAAAAAAAGCAACTTAAAAAGGTATTTTTACTTTGGATCTTTGACCAACAGACGGCGTATAAAGTCCTTGGCCAGCTCGCTGGTGTTGCTGAAATACTCTTCATCAAAGTCGTAGTTGACAGCAGAAATGTTGGTCAAGGTCTCCTGTTTTGTCTCGCCCAGAAATGGTGACGCGCCGCTCAGCCTAACACAAGACAGAAACTTTGCTTTACACCTCACATGACTGAGGGGTGAAGTGATTCAACAGACTGTCACGATGTGAACCATTACTCACAGAATATATGTGATCACTCCGATGCTCCTGCAAACAAGAGGAGACAAGTAAACATGCTGGACGAGTTAATATACAGCTTCAGAAGGAAGAACAAAAAAAAAGACAAAAGAATGGCATCTTACCACATGTCTGCCTCCAGGCCAAGTGGCTCATAGTTGACTATTTCTGGTGCTGTAAAACACAGAGGAATGAACGCTTTAATTCAGACCAGATGTGATCTGAGGGAAAAGCTCTCCCACTTACACGAGATTTAACTCAGAGGCCTGCATGAATGTACAAATGCCGAGTTTCTTACCGACAAACTCCGGAGTTCCAAAGATGTTTTTAAACTCGTTCCCTGCTTTAATCTGGTGAGCGATGCCAAAATCAATCAGCTTGATCCTGGGGTTGGGAGCATTCTTATCCAGTAGCATGATATTCTCAGGCTGAAAGAGAAAAGAAAAACGACTACAGATTAGCAAAGAAAGAATGCAGAGCTGATGCGGTCAAGAACATTTTTCTGCTCTACCCTTTGATGTTTTTTCTTTAGTCAGTTATTCAAAACAAACGAGATGGGAAAAAGCTTCCCCTCAGACAGACTGCTGACCTTCAGGTCAAAGTGAGCGATGCGTTTGGAGTGAAGGTAGTAAACGCCGTCCAGGATCTGCTTGAGAAACTGTGTGGCCTCCTCCTCGGTCAGAGACTCCTTCTCAGCCAGGAAGTCGAACAGCTCTCCGCCTGACACCAGCTCCAGGATCAGGATCACGTCCGTTTTGTTTTCAAAGATGTCGTGGAGCGTGATGATGTTGCTGTGCTGGATCTCCCGCAGAATGTTGACCTCGCGCTCGATCTCCTCGCGGCTCACCCCTCGCCGGCTGGACGACAGTCGCCGCTTTTTGATGAACTTGGCTGCGTACTCGTCGCTCGTGCTCTTGTCCTTGCACTTACGGACGATGGCGAACTGTCCGCTGCAGACAGGAAGGCCAAAGGACATTTTTTTCTAAGTTAATTTAACAAAATGCCTTCCTAGCACAACTCATGCGAGTGATGTTAAAACATGGCCCTTCAAACAGAACAGCTGAAGAATTGGAACAGCCAGTTCCAACACTTCAGCTGCTCTTCAGTCATTCATTGGATCTGTGACAGCAGTAGCTGCAGCCACACAGTAAACAAAGGTTCAAGTAATACATTTGGTTATCGTACGCTTTTTTTGTTGATTGCAAATACGCACAAGCTAAGTTCCATAACTAAACAGTTATACATTTATGCAGTTTATTTCCACACTTTAGCAACATTTGGTATACCGCTACTTGTTTACTATTTAGAGTGCACACATTTAGATAACTTCCTTTGTCAAGTCTTGCTGCTACAATTTATTTGTTCTTTGCAATGATTTAACTTTTGTATCTTTGAGTTGCCGGTTCCTTTGGAGATGCTGCTGAAGTTGTCCTGCCACTGTAAACAGTCCCAGCTGCATCACATCTACCCATCAGTCCAAACCATACCATAATAAACCAGTCTAACACTATGTTGCATGTCAGCAGAGGGAGACGGTAGATTTATTTTTTACATCTTTGACTAGGTCTAATTTGTTATTGCAAATATTTTTCTTTTTTTAAGGTTAGTAGCACTACTTTGCTCAGTTGTGTTTTTTTGCTAACACTACAGCTGAGGTGGCTGAGTGGTTACAGCAGTCGTCCTCCAATGCAAGAGTTGGGGGTTCAAATCCACCAGCAGTCACATGCCGAAGTGTCCTTGGGCAAGACACTGAACCCCTCATTGCCTTGGATGTGCGTCCCATCAGTGTATAAAAGTGATAAAACACTGATTAGTCTCTTTAGAATGATTTGTTCCATCAGTGTTGTAGAGATCTAGTAGAGTGCTGTATGAATGGGTAAATGAAGGCACAGATTGTAGTGGAAAACACTGTGAGTATCTTGATAAGATAGAAAAGGTGATGTATAAATACAGTTCATTTACTACTTGCAATTTAGTCTAATTTATGTATATCTCTTTTTAAATGTCTGGAAACCAAACATCACTTGGTCAATGTTCCTTCTCATTTAAAGGTCCTCATATTTGGAACGGTTTACCATCACCATTAAAAACGTTAACAGATCTTAAAGTTTTTTAATTCCCAGGTGAAACAATGGCTGAAACAAAAACAAATATGTGAACACTGAGCCTCATGGGGATGGAGGAGCAGGCATGCGTGTATGTGTGAGGAGACTGTTTATTTCCAATTTAATTTTAATTCTATTTTAGCTGTTTTTAAAAAAAGGTCCAACCAAGGTCTGCAAATTAGCCTGTGGCTAGAAAACCTTCATACAAAACAGCGGTTGATTTGTTTTTATCATGTAACACAGTTTATGGTGCTGTCCTTGATCAAATAAACGATATGAAACACTAAAAAACATTATTAGAACCAGACCTTTTCTTTTTTTGTTAAAAAAAAAAAAAGTTCGGTTGGCTGGAAACAGAGATGAGGAGGATGGATTTTAAAACTTTCTTCTTGCTAATCCGTATGCTTCACTAACAAACATTTTTAAACAAGTGGCTTGAAACTATTTTTTTTTGGTTCTTGGTAGTGATTCCCACAAACCAAAAATAAACTATTAAGTACAGAAAAGTAATGTGACGTTTCACAAAAAGCAGACAAATTCTGTAAGTTATCACTTTGAACATATGCTGTTATGAACAAAAAGTGACTTTTCTTGATGATATTTAAGAGACGCAATTCTAGAAAAATATTTACATGCAAAAATGTATCCACCACCATCTTTTTTTTTATTTATTTTTTTTACTTTGGATAACTGAATAAAATCTGTCTGAAAAGCGACAACAGAAATAACCTGTTTGAAGACAACCATGTCTCTGCACTGACAAAATATTAACTATTTTTTTTTAACAAAATATCCAAAAGGCATATCGCAAAACAGCGCATCAATAGATAAACATACTTTACAGCTACTACAGCTGATTTGGATTGCTTCAACTTTCCCCTCACTTAATATATGCAGCTTTTCTTGGCAAACACTCATCTTCTTCAGAGACACTACAGCACAGCAGAGGTGGAAAGACACACTGAAAGCCCCTGACGTCACAACGTTGCTGCATTACTGCAGAACAAAAAGCAGCTAATGCAGAGGTGGATCTAATTTTATTAAAAACTGACGACTCACCTTGAAAACTATCTAGCACGGCAATAGAGGTGGTGAGATTCTTTTTAATGTTACTTTTGGTCTTGACCCGACATGGGAGTTTTGGATCGACTGCGTTTTATACCTGACGTATCAGTAACCATAGGTTTTATGTGGCTTCTCAAAATAACTTTTGTTCAGCCAAAAAAAGAGGCACCTCGTGTATTTTAAAGTGTTTTGGGTGCTGTATTTAGGGCTGCTGTACAGAAAAAAAGTGTAGGTACATACCTGCCCAGCTCCTCTCCCATCTCATAATACAGCTCGACCTCCTCCTGCCTGAAGCCAGCCATGGTGCTGACTCGAACAATGATGGGAGACGGGCCTCAAGACTTCCTGTAGTAAAAAATTTAAAAGGAACACTGTATATTAAAAACAGTTATTGAGAATTACAAATATTTAGAAAGCTAAACAACACAATAGTAGCCTTTGATTGCAAAGGATCATGAACCCAAATGGCAGATTCACCTCGACTTCTTTCCTCCATATTTGGTTGTAGTGATCACAGCTTTACTTTTCAGAGACTTTGAGGCTGATGTCAGACCTCTGCATACCAGTCCTGCTGACATCATCTCCTGCCCTGGTCCAGCCAACTCTGATTCAGTTTAAAAGGACTGGAATGTGTCCAGTACAGGAGGTTTTTAACTTTTTTTGTTGTGGACGTTTCGCGTAGCTGAAGTTGTTCGTAGAAACACATCAGATATTTATTGATAACTCGGAGACTGTCGATTGAAAATGGCACGATAAACAAGGCCTTTTTTTAAAAACAAACTAAAACAGAAAACCGACAAACAACACACCATTAAACATGAACTATTATTGAAGTTTCACCACCATTGAAATTTAGAGGAAAATATGCGAGTCGTGATCACGAAAGGAAGCTACTAGCTAAACTGTTAACGAGTTAGCGTTGAACACCGGCCGGCTCTTCCTGTTTTTCAGCTTAAATATCTTCACAGATGAGCGCGTTATTTAAAAAAATAAATAAAACATGGTAGCAAAAATGCACATTTAGCCCTGTAAATACGAAGCCATCAATGCAATAGATACTCACAGTACGAGCGGCTTCAGACACCGCACTCCTCATCCAAGTCAGCCCGAGTTCTTTCAAGTTAACGAGAGCTACAGGAGGAGCTTCCGGTTTATCTTGTCAAAATAAATGTCAGAGTCAGCGTTTCTTGATTGTCATTCGCACCTCATGTGGTACACGTGATGGAGCGAACAGGGTCCCAGTTACATCCAGCAATAAAATGTAAAAGAAAAACAGTAATAACATCTAAGATATGAACTAAGAAAAACATAAACTAAATATACACTTATGGTCCTTGTATTAACTGCTTGAACAACTTGAAATATAAGACACAATGTTCAGAAACATACCTTAAACGAGAAATTGCATAAAAGTCAGAGTCAGAGTCAGAGTTTCTTTATTGTCATTCGCACCTCATGTGGTACATGTGGTGGAGCGAAATTATGTACGCAGGGTCCCAGTTACATCCAACAATAAAATGTATAAGAAAAACAGTAATAACATCTAAGATATGAACTAAGAAAAACATCAACTAAATATACACTAAGCACTCATAACATAAAACATTGAACATCACCACAAACATGAACATGAGTCTGTGAGCAGATGTGCACGCATGAACACATCAACATTGAAACAGATCAGCAGCAACATGAAACAGATCAGCAGCAACATGATATGGTTTTTCACAGTGATTATTCTAGTTAGAGATTCATGAGTCTAACAGCCTCAGGGTAGAAGCTGTTCCTCAGTCTAGTGGTTCTACACTTAATGCTCCTTAACCTCCTTCCTGAGGGGAGTGGGGCAAAAAGTGTGTGTGCTGGGTGGGTGGGGTCCTTCATGATGCAGGTGGCCCTCTTCCTGCATCTGGAGGTGTAGATGTCTGTGATGGTGGGGAGACTGATTCTGACAGATTTCTGTGCAGCCTTCACCACTCTCTGCAAAGCTTTTCTTTCTGCAGCTGTGCAGCCTCCATGCCACACATTGATGCTCGAGCACAGGATGCTCTCCACTGCACACCTGTAGAAGGAGGTGAGGACTGAGCTTCCCAGACCAGCTCGCCTCAGCCGTCTGAGGAAGTAGAGTCTCTGATGAGCTTTCTTGATCAGGCTGGTGGTGTTGTTGCTCCAGCTGAGGTTGTCATTCATGTGTACACCCAAGTACTTGTAGCTGGAGACCACTTCCACCGCAGATCCTCTTATGTTCAGGGGGGTGTAGGTGTTTTTGTTCCTTCTGAAGTCCACAATCATCTCCTTTGTCTTCTTCACATTGATGTGAAGGTTATTCTCTCTGCACCAGCTCTCCAGGTGTTCCACCTCCTGCCTGTAGCTGGACTCATCATTGTTTGTGATGCATCCCTCCACCGCTGTATCATCTACAAACTTTACAATGTGACAGCCTGGATGGGTAGCTGCACAATCATATGTGAGCAGAGTAAACAGGAGGGGGCTCAACACACATCCCTGAGGAGAGCCAGTGCTGAGGGTTATGGTGGAGGAGGAGAGGTTGTGGATCCTCACTAACTGTGGTCTGTTTGTTAAAAAGTCTAGTACCCAGTTGCAGATGGAGGGGCTTAGTCCTAGTGTGGATAGTTTGTCCATCAGGGTTTGGGGGATCATGGTGTTGAAGGCGGATGTGAAGTCCACAAAGAGCATACGGACGTAAGAGTTTTTCTGCTCCAGGTGGTTGAGTGCAGTGTGGACCACAGAGGAGATTGCATCCTCTGTTGATCGGTTCTCACGGTATGCGTACTGATGAGGGTCCTCGTTGATGTTGATGGTTGTTTTTTGATGTGAGTCATGACCAGTTTTTCGAAGCATTTAGCGACTATCGGGGTGAGGGCCACTGGCCGATAGTCATTCAGACCAGTCACTGTAGAGCTTTTTGGGACTGGGATGATGGTGGCAGTCTTCAGGCAGGTGGGAACTGTCTCCAGGGTAAGTGAGGTGTTAAAGATGTCTGCCAGCACCTCACAGAGCTGATCAGCACATTCCTTCAACACTTTTCCGGGGATGTTGTCTGGGCCAGTTGCTTTGTGCGGATTAATCCTCCTGAAGGTACTCCTTACTTCTGCTGAGGTCACGCTGAGATGCTCTTCATCCGGTGGCGAGGTGAGTTTGGTGCTGGGTGGTCTGTTCTGGTCTTCAAAGCGTGCATAGAACTTGTTGAGGGCATCAGGCAGAGATGGGTCTTTGGGACATTGTTCACTCCTTCCTTTATAATCTGTTATGCACTGAAAGTTGCAAAAGCCTGAAAGTTAAAATTTGGTATGACTAATTCTAGCAGTACTGAGTATAATTATTTTCAAAACAGTTTGTGTTGCCTTGGCAGAGATTTGGAATTTGTCATATTTTTATTTTTATGAAGCGGTCTTCGTTGTAAATTTTAATTTGATAGGTTTAAATTCAACTTGCGTTAACTTCCGGTATTGACAATGCAGGTAAGAGACAGAGGGTGGCCATATGGAATGACGTCAGGCTGAGGGAACCGACTGCATTATGTCTCAGGAACATGATCGAGCACGCTACAATGAACAAAAAGAGGCCGAACTAAATACACCAACACTACAGTCAGTAACGTTGGGCAATATAGTTAAAAAGATAACATGGAGTTTATTTATTTATTTAGTTAAAAAAACAACACGAAGTAATGGTGTATTTATTTGAGACAGTGACTAAATGTTTTGGATTGGCATTTAGCGGTCATAACGCATTGGATATAATCATGGAAAATGAGAAAGGTTTAAAGATATTTGTAATTATTCACTACATTAACTCTCTGTTAAATTCATTCAGAGTTATTGCTTTTGAAAACTTGAATTCCTCTTTTTTCTGGATGTAAATCGCTTTTATCGGATTATTATGTCCTCTGGTATCAGATGCTGTCCAGCTGGAAGGATTTTTTACTGAAACCTTTTTACTTTGGGGCATTTGTTATGATGCGTAACCATGGCAACAATTATTATTATTTTTTTTAAGCAACCAGGAGCAGCTCAAATACTTCAACTACAGCCCCAAATCCTAAATGAGTTGAAAAGGAGGTGCTATGGATGAATTCCCATCAACCTGGCGGCAGTGCTCGAGTACTTGACCGCTGAGATCCTGGAGCTGGTGAGAAATTCGGCTCGTGACAACGGGAAGACCGGGATCATCCCTTGGCACCTTCAGCTGTCTGTCCGTGGCGACGAGGAGCTCGGCAGACTGCTGAGAGGAGTGACCATCGCTCAGGGAGGAATTCTGCTCAGCATTTGGGCAGTCCTGCTGCCCAGAAGGACCGAGTGGCCCGCTGGATCTGACAGCAAGCTGGATCCGGATCAGTATCTGTGGCTGCAGATTCTTTGGATTCTCTGCAGGGGATCCTTCCTGCCCACAGCTATCAGCATATATAACAACTCTTAAATGAAACCAGGATGATGAGCTACGACCACGCTTCATTTCCCTTTGGGATTAATAAAGTATTTTTGAATTGAATTGAATTAAGTAACCAAATTTGTAACTGAACAGACGTTCTAGGAAGATATACAGTAGTTAAAAATTATTTAACCAAATTAAAAAACAAGTGTTCCCTGACCGGGAATCGAACCCGGGCCGCGGCGGTGAGAGCGCCGAATCCTAACCACTAGACCACCAGGGACTCTGAACATTGGCCTGACACATAATTACTTTTGTAATAACATCCAGATGTTCTTCATGTGTTAGTGTTTCTAAGGAGCTGCATTTCTTCTCAAGAGAATGTTGAGCCCTTATACAAAAGCAATTCTCATCATATAAGAGTTTAAGGACTCAAACTGAAGTACAGACAGTACTCAACTGTATGCGATTCGTTCCCCCCCACCCCCCCAATAGACAACTTTTTCCGCTGAAAAAAAAAACCAGTACAGTACAGTACTATTTACAGTACAGTACTGTGGATCCACTGTTACTTGTCAGCCTTTTGACGGATGTTTACTTAAACCAATCAGATATGCGCTCTTTTGCTCTAAAGGTTAGCAGCCAATGAAAACTTAGATTAGAAAATAAATGGGCGTGGCTTCGAATGATCGTTGGTGAGATCCCAGAGCTGTTGGCTCTGGTTGGCAGGGGAATAACAACAAGCTAGGCATCATGAGGCTCCCCGAAACACTGATTTGGGCCGCTTTTCTCATCCAGAAGGTGAGAACGATGCCAATTACTTAATCGAAAATTGTTTCCCTGTGCGTACGCATCTCTTAATCGTATGTAGCTGGCAGATATGGGTTGTTGTTAAATGAAATCGTGTCGGGTTTTTTATTTTTTGCATGAAATGCTAAGTGTTAGCTTGCGGAGCTCACCCACACAACCTTTAAACTAGATATGACATTTATGGAACAGCTTACAGCTTATTCACACAACACAAAAATCAGAGTTATAAGTGAAAACTGTAATGTCAATGTGAACATGTAAAAAAAAAGGATGTCAAGCTCTGAAATATATGACTGTAGGGATAAATATTATAGATTTAATATGCAGCTGCTCTGCAAAACGCTTCAGAACCTGTTTGGGTCGTACAGTTTGTGAATATTTCACATTTTAGGTTCATAATATTTAACATGATGGGTTTTTCCCCCACCAAAGAGTAATATAGTACATTATATTAATATTTAGCCTCAGGTTTTATTTTGTAGTCAGTGTTTTTTTATTTACATCCCCCTACATCTTGTTGTGGCTTATGAGAACCACATTGGTGTTCAAATCAGCTGAAGCGGTACCTTAGTTCAAAAGATTTATTTGACAACGGATTACAAGTATTCAGAAATCATGAAACAATTACAATGTATGCATACAGAGGGCATTTTATCAGAACAGACCTTATTCATCGAAGTTCTCCAAGCAAATGCCCCGACCTGCCCTCTCGCTCTGCATCTTATCACAGATTTTTAGCAGCTCTGCTTCTGATTGGTTTAACCAACCTGTTGTCATGGTTACGGGGCTCTTCTGGCTGTTAGATACGTCTTGGAGGTCACTTACCAAAGATAAGTTTATGGCTCTTTGTTAAGACACGCTGGTGTTTCTAGCTGAAAATTTACTCTGAACTGATCACAACTGTTAAACGATTAAATGCTACTTTCTATTATCTTTACTAATTATGTTTAGTCACTATATTAAGTTTAAGCAAACTCTATTAAGTTTAAGGTTAGAGAAATGTGTTCTAGATACTTTAATGTCCCTCAGTCTATGCGTGTGCGTGAGTGAGCGTGTGTGGTGAGTGTGACACTCCAAGGCCCCTTCCTGAAGTCTAATCAGTATCTTACCTGCTCTGAGTCGCTTGTAAATGTGAACTTATAAGAATGTGAATTTATAAGATTTTCTCTAGTTAATGTAAGATTATATTTAAGCAAACTAACTAGATTTAAGATTCTATTTAAGCAAAGTAACTGATTAATATTTAAATGATTGTAAGGTATTAAAAACCCTTCAAAACACATTTTATAACATGAAATTTCAAGCTTGATTAAAATAATAATAAAAGATAAAACATGAAATCCAACAATCTCTTCGTGTATAAACCTTTTTTGCGTGATAACTACATTATATCTCTTTGACAAAGATCCAATCTTCAACGACTCACTGCTGACCACCCCCCGTCTGCATTATTTTAATAATTGTCCAATAATTCATTGAATTAGTAGTTAAATAGATTCATTTGGAGACTTTTTTCAACTTTTGCATTGCTGCTGGAAGGTATGGGCCAAGCCTAATGAAATAAAACAGTATTTATATATATATATATCCCCACGTGCTTCAAAACCACCACCATAATCCCTGTCCCCAAGAAAACGTCTCCCTCCTGCTTCAACGACTACCGCCCGGTTGCACTCACTTCCATCCTCATGAAGTGCTTCGAGCGACTAGTCATGCAACACATTAGGTCCTCCCTCCCCCCCTCCCTGGACCCCTACCAGTTTGCATATCGGTCAAACCGCTCGACTGATGATGCCGTCGCCACTGCTCTTCATTCAGCCCTCACACATTTGGACAAGAAAGACACCTATGTCAGAATGCTCTTCATCGACTTCAGTTCTGCATTCAACACAATCATTCCACAACAACTCATCTGGAAACTGGACAGTCTGGGTCTGAACACATCACTGTGCAACTGGCTGCTTGACTTCCTTACCGGAAGACCACAGGCAGTACGGGTTGGCAGCAACACATCCAGCATCATCACTCTGAACACGGGGGCCCCACAAGGATGTGTGCTGAGCCCCCTTCTGTTCACTCTACTAACCTACGACTGCTCTCCATCACACCCCTCCAACCTCTTCATCAAGTTTGCGGACGACACGACTGTGGTAGGCCTCATCAGCAACAACGATGAGTCACTCTACAGGAGCGAGGTGAGCCGGCTGGTCTCCTGGTGCAAACGCAACAATCTCTTGCTGAACACAGAGAAGACCAAGGAGATTGTTGTGGACTTCAGGAGAACTCAGACAAAACATGCTCCACTATCCATCAACGGTGTTGTTGTGGAAAGGGTGAGCAGCACCAAGTTCCTGGGTGTGCACATCTCTGAGGACCTCTCCTGGACCATCAACACAGCAGCAGTGGCCAAAAAGGCTCACCAACGGCTCTACTTCCTCCGCAAGCGGAGAAGAGCGAGAGCCCCCACCCCGATGATGACAACCTTCTACAGGGGGGCCATCGAGAGCATCCTGATGAGCTGCTCCACTGTGTGGTACGGGGCCTGCACAGCATCCTGCCGCAAATCCCTCCAGCGGATCGTGAGGACAGCTGAGAAGATCATTGGCACCTCTCTCCCCTGCCTTCAGGACCTC